AGAATCCATGTTGGTCATACTGGAAACATTTTGGAAACTGTAGCCCCAAAGCGTATGTAGGCCATATCTTTTCCCTTCTTTTTTCATGGAAGTATAGATCAACAAATTCTGTTTTACAAGGAAGAGATGTTCAAGTGCATTGCTTCAGAAGTGGTTATAATTAATCAAAGGTAAGGTAGATACACAGACAGATAGATCAATACACATACACAAACTCAAGCATGTTGCTAAAGAAAGCAAGGTGAATCATAGGATATCCTGCCATGTTCTTTCCTTTTTCTTGATTGATGGTTATTTGTTGGGAGGGCAGTCAAAGCAAGGACAAATCATATATAGTTGTTATTGTTTTGTGATGAGAAAGCATATGTCCTGTTAGTGACATGTGCACTTAATGTTAGGTTTTGAATGTGATGTTTGTGGAGGTATTGATTACCTCCTTGGAGAAGATCTCTCGCAACACCAATGTACTGCTTTAAAGTCAGAGCATACCATCATTGACATTTCATGACTGAGGAAATGTGCGTATTGGATTATTTTCACTTGATATTAGGACACTATGATAATAGTTATTCATGAATGAGATATTTTTCTTTCCCAGTAGCATTGTTTAAACTTGCAAATAGAAAGTGATAATCTATTAAGCCTACTGCATGCGCTTGCAAAATGCAATGCCTTATCTAAATACCAGTTTTCATGTCTATGGGTACAGTTGTTGTATGTGTATCCAATTAATCTTAATGCAAATGAAATACAGAATGTAATGCTTCTCTATCAGTATTGCAGGCTTAAAAATGGATAGTATTTAATTTAAATGGTATATTCCTTTCATACTGTTTTAATCAATAGTTTTGAAAGACCTCTTTAGTTTATGGCACAGTGTTAATATACAGAGATTTACGGTTTTATTAACCAATTTTATTGAATTATCAATATGACATTAAATTCAACCTAGTTTCTTTATGGATTAATTTGGAACTTTCTTGGATTAAAAAAACGATGAGAGTGTACTTTTTCACATATATAGGGAAAAGTGATCTATGAACCTGGAGTGTGAGATGAATAAAAATCCACTTATCTTTGTGAATATAAAGTTCACTTCACAAGCCATTTCCAGCATGGAAATAATGTACGTCTTTTAAAAACAAATGACACTATATAATAAAATTTGAAAAAGTTTCTGTTCCTGGTTTGAAAGTGTTATTTCTTGTTTTATTGTGCAGTTTTTTGCAGCTGCGAAAAACTATATTGAATAGGCTGAGACTCTATGAAATATGAGATATTCATTGAAAACCTGTGGCAAAATGTGCTGTAGTTTTTGCAGTTTAATGAACATCTTTTCATGTTTTTATGACAGAAGCAATTAGGAAATAACATTTATAACACAGGAACAAATATCATGTTACATAGTGTAATGGCCCCATCTACATTGCCATATAATTCAGTTTGAAACTGCATTATTCAGAAATAATAAGTGTTTCCCAACCTTTTTGACCAAGGACCACTTGAACAGGGACACTATGAATAGGGACCATGCTCCAACATTAGTACCAAAAGGGTTACGAATCAGTTTTTGGTCAACTTTAGATTTAGTTTGGTTATTTTGGAGGGCTGATTCAGAAAATTGCATTGGAAAGACCATGTCAGCTCCAGTTTCTGATATAGAAAATGTGTCATCCAATAGTTACTATCTGCTTGCCCATAGAAAGCCATATTTAATAATCTAGAGCTAATGTGGTACTGGTAATCTTTTGTGGATAGTCATCTTCTCCCCTCCCAACATCCTTGTTTCTTTGGCACTATAAGAGGGTTTTGCAAGACCAGTCGCTCTCATTGTCGCATGGTTTTAAGGCAACGGTGTAGTAATGGTGAGGCCACAAAACATATTTTCATTCTTGGGGACCACTGGTGGTCCACAAACCACAGGTTGGGAACCACTGCTGTAGATGGAGCCAATATTTAATAGTTCCATTTTGTATTTAGAAAAATCGGGCTTGTAAAAGTTTTCAGGAAAAAAAGTTGTGAACTTTTAAAGCTTCTGCATTTTCCTTACAACTTCATCAGACAGGGCTTTTTTCTGGTGGCATATGCCAGTTAAGCCCTAGGTCATCCACGGAGCCTTCGGGCTCCCATCAAATGATGCACAGGAACTTCCAGTGAGGTTTCGTGGATGATCTAGGGCAGAGCTAGCCCATGCTTCCCGTATTGCCTAGAAAGCAATGTGGGGAGGCTGTGCAGTCAATGCTTCCCCCCCACTGGGTCAGCTTTCTCATGAACTGGGCGATGTGGGGTGTGGGGCATGAAGCGACTGGTTCCACATTCCCCCTGAAGAGGGTCGCTGGCTCATGGTGATTTTGGTGGTTGTATGATGAAGTCATGAGACTCTGATCAAAATGAAGTGTGACTTCTTGGCCTGCCTTTACTTTGTTCACATAAACCAGAAACTAGTCAGAGGACCAATTGCCCCCAAATCAGTTGTAGCTTCTAGTTTTCCTTTTCTGAAATTCATAGCACTAGGGTATTGGTGTGTGTGTGTTGGAGTTTAATGTTGCTTTTGGAGATCTCCAGACCTCCTTTTTTCCTTTCTTCTTTAGGGTGATTTTTAGCTTCCCAAATGGCAATTTGTAGGGGAAAGCTGGGCCACATAAGCCAAGAGCATAGCTTCTAACAATTCACAGATGAAAACCACGAGATATGTGAATGAGCAACAGCAGCATATGATCACAAGGGTATAGCCAGGCAACAAGAGAGTAAAAGTAATAAAGAAGAACATGAAAAATTCTGTTTTAAGTAATGACATCCTGAAACTGTTATACTGATTTGGAAGGTCTGAAAGCAGGGCAGGGAAAGAAAGGAACCTACAAGGAAGGGAAAGCTCTGCACTCTCTTAAAGCTTGATGTTAGGTTTTATTTTTTTAAAAAAAAAACTGATAGCAAAATAATTAAAAGACTTTTTAAAAATAGTAAATGAAAATAATTATAACAAATTAATGAATTAATTATTGAAATTATTTTTTTTTACATATGGTTGCATGGTGTCTTTTTCTGCTCCCCCCCCCCCCCCCCCTGATGCAAACAGTCTGGGCTTGTAGTACACACAAAGCATGTTAGAGCCTCTGTACAAATAAATCACAAATCGTATTTAGCTTGTTTTTGTGCAGGATTGCCAAAATGAAATGTTGCAAAAAAGGTCTTTTACAGTATTGTCTGTGATTAAAATTGAGGTTTCTTTTCTTTGTTGAGGAGTAGGGGGATATTTTCTTAATACGTATATAAATTTGCAATAGATGCATACATGGGTTAGGGGAGAGATACAAATAAAGAAAAGAAACAGAAAGCTGCAACACCTGAATGTGGAAACGACTTTGCCAGTCTTTTTTTTTAATCCATTATATTTCTAGTTTGGAAATAAAAACAGATAATTCAAATTGCTGACAACTTATTTGGCAGTAAAATGCTGCTTATAGTTATTAATAGCTTTGTATAGGAGTATGCTGCCATACCTCTAACATCCAGTAAGAAATCCTGAAGATAAAAAATTTGAGAAGCAGCCAGTAATGGATTGGGTCTCTGTCAAGAGGCAAATGGGTCCTGGAGTCTTCATTGGCACTATGGTTGAATGGTCATTGGTCTCCAGTGGTGTAAAACATGTATCAATGGCCTTATTGGTCAGACGTGAAGTATCTGGCCAACCAGGTGTTGTAATTGTTCATAGCCTACAAACTCCACCATCTATGGCTATTGCCTCTGATGGAGTTCAAAAACATCTGGGAGGCTACAGTTTCTCTACTCCTAATACAGTCAAACATCCACAATTTTCATTATTTATTCTAATAGAATCCCGCCTGGAAACAGCAAACAATTTGAGTCGCTGTGATTTTAGTGAAGAACTCGAGTGTAAATCACATTTATAGGACAAAACATAAAATGACTTTCTCCCCTTCACACCCTCCAGCTCAGTACTGCTGTAAATATGAAACTGTTGTCATTTATACATAAGTCATTTTTATGAGAATGGGATAAATTTATGGAATGGGTGTACAAACAGCATTCAGTAATAGTAGGCATTCACAGGAATACAGGTGAGCAAAATATGCTAATCTCCAAAAGTCAAGCTGAAGATAAACAAGTTGGGGACATTTCTCATGTCCTTCATTATGCAGAATATTTTATCAGTGTGAGATTATCATCAAACCCTATAAAACATATTGAGAATCGTAACTGCATATGTGAATTCATAGTAAAAGATACTAGCAACCAGCAGAATGATACTTTCACGGTTGTTAAAAAGCTTGTTGTTCTTTATTTGTTCACTCGCTTCCAACTCTTCCTGACCTCATGGACCAGCCCACACCAGAGCTCCCTGTTGGTCGTTGCCACCCCCAGCTCCTTCAAGGTCAAGTCAATCACTTGAAGAATACTATCCATCCATCTTGCCCTTGGTTGGCCCCTCTTCCTTCCATTTTTCCCAGCATCATTATCTTCTCCAAGCTTTCCTATATTCTCATTATGTGGACCTAGTACTTCATCTTTGCCTCTAATATCCTTCCCTCCAGTGAGCAGCCGGGCATTATTTCCTGGAGTATGGACTGGTTTGATCTTCTTGCGGTCCAAGGCACTCTCAGAATTTCCCTCCAACTCCACAGTTCAAAAGCATTTATCTTCCTTCACTCAGCCTTCCTTATGGTCCAGCTCTCGCATCCATAGGTTACTACGGGGAATACCATTGCTTTAACTATGCGGATCTTCGTTGCCGGTGTGATGTCACTACTCTTCACTATTTTATCGAGATTGGTCATTGCTCTCCTCCCAAGAAGTAAACAGTTTCAATCAAACATGTTGCAAAGCTGTGCGCACTGAGAAGCACGTTTAAAAATGTATTTTGCCAAGCAGTGATAAAATTGTCCAGCAGGTGGCTGGCATTCTCCAAAAACAGACAGCATTTCCTACAAGTACTGTACTCATTGAAATAAGCCTGCTACATGGGCTGAAGCAGGGAGAGAGCTGACGTTCCAAAGATCCTGCCTCTAGGAATTGCTGTGTATTTAAGAGGGCTGCTCCTTGCCTTTGTGCTAAATACAGCCTTCAAGTCCAGGACCTGAAAAGATTGGGAACGAGTAGCTGCTAGTACTAGGTCTGGTGGAATGGAATCTATTGGTTTCAGCTGTGAAATCGCACTAGAGTATCAACACTAGACTCTGGGAGGTTTTTTTTCTTCTCCCAGACTTTGCCTCTTGGCCTTTTTCAAGTTCTCATTCAAGAGATTAGCAAAAATGACAAAGATAAAAGTTGGAAACTGAAATAGCATCAATGTTTCCTTGTTTGAATGGATTGTATTTATTATGTGTGTGTTTCCTGTTACGGTAAATTGCACGCTGCATATTCCACGTCTATCGAGAACGACAGAGGAGGAACAAAATCAGCTCCAGAGAATTTATGTGAGCTGTTTGGCATTTTTAGTATTAAGCAAGCCTTTTCTATGAAGTTGGCTCCTGACAATGGCATCTGAGGAGTGCATTTTTCTCAATGTGGAATTGGATGATTTTATTCTCTGCAACATCTCGACTGCTCAATATGCTAATCTCTCTCTGGTGGGTGAGGACTTCTTTTACTATAAATTCCTATATGCAATTCCAACTATTTATGGGATCATCATTTTGATAGGGCTTGTTGGCAACATCACACTGATCAAAATCTTCTGTACTGTGAAGTCCATGAGAAATGTCCCTAATTTGTTCATCTCTAGCTTGGCTTTTGGAGACTTGCTTCTTTTGCTCACCTGTGTTCCTGTGGATGCCAGCAGGTACCTGTCTCCTGAATGGCTGTTTGGTCGGGTTGGATGTAAACTTATTCCTTTCATACAACTAACTTCAGTGGGGGTCTCTGTCTTCACACTCATGGCTCTTTCTGCAGACAGGTAAGCTTCCTTTGTTAGTCATTGAGAAGTACAGGACAGCCTATTATACACCTGTGCTTCTTCATAGATCACATTCATTTTGGGGGTATGTTTTAAGTACATTTAAATATATATATATCTCTGCTTAACAAGTGTGCAATAGGAGCCAAATTCATCTTACTAGAGTGCTAAAATCAGTATCTAAATGTAATGTATTTAAAAACACAGACAAAGTTTAAAGACTTGGCAATTACATTAAATGTCCTTTGATCAGTAGCTGGCCACTTGGAGTGCCTCTGATGCTGCTATAAGAAGGTCCTCAATTGTGCATGTGGCAGGGCTCAGGTTGCATTGTAGCAGGTGGTCTGTGATTTGCTCATCTCCACACTTGCATGTTGTGGAGTCCACGTTGTGGGTGGCCCCATTTCTTAAGGTTGGGTAGAGTGTAGTCCTATGCATGCTTTCTCACTGAGTTTGGTATGATTTAGTTCAAGATAGATTTCTATAGAATTTGAGTTTTAAAATTGTTTTTAATAAGAGACCCCTGTGAAGGAAATAAAATAACACTTGAAAACAGATGCAATGTCTAGAAAATGAAAATGAGGCCATTGTCTTGTGGTTTATCATTTTCATTTCCCCATCTTCGAGCTAAGTTTCCAAGATCATTTCTTTGAAAGCAAATTCTGTGGAAAGAAGGGAGATTTCCTTCTAGGCAAACCAGTTTGGAAACCTTAAGAGCAGTTAATTTGCTCTTCCTGTTGTGACAAATCAATATTACCAATTAACACAAGAGCATTCAACTTGTGGTGGTGGTGGTGGGGATAGCTATTTAATCAAAGTAATGTCCCTAGAGGACATAGCTATTATCTTTAGTACATTATTAAATCACATCCCGCAATATGTTTAGAATGAATGACATGAAACAAAAGGGTTGGCATCATATATTAAGTTTAATTCTTGATTTTTCATACATTAAAATGTAGTTATGTTATGTGTACTTGTGAGAGATATGCATGGATGGATGAACAAGTGCTGACAGAACTTTTTCACAGATCATGTTTCTACAGTTCACAAATGATGCATACACACACACACAAACATAAATAACCAACTCACTGGACATTTTCTGAACAAAGAATGTGAACAACCAACTAATTCATTTTTATTGCCTTCTTCATATAGATAGCAGACAATTTAGCTAATTAGATACAGCAGCAACCTGTTATAATTGAATTTATTTCTCACTGAAATGCTTATGTTAGTCTGACATTCCTATTGTCAGCTCACAAAAAATCAAGAAGCTACAGTCCATTATTGAAGATTTGCATAATAAGAAACATGACTATGAAATGTGGTATCTCACATCTTTATACAAAAGCCAGCTGAATGCCCTTTTTAATTTGTTAGCTTGTGTTGCTTATTAACGAGCATGTGAATAAGAAACTGGAGTACAAGTTAAACGAATAGTATATATAGCAATTGTGCTCTAGTATTTTATTTATTTATTTGCAGTATTTATATACCGCTTTTCTGACCCCTAGGGGGGTGCATGAATTCGGAATAGAAGCTTGCATGAATGGGAATAGAATGGGCTCAGACTATGAAAATACTTAAGAGCATGAATCAAAACTTCTGTGTTGTTTTAGCTACTAGACTGGTTTAATACTCTTTCCGTACTTACCACATTCTTTCAAACAAGATCCAGGTGCATAAATTCTACTGCAAAGTGGAGGGAGGGAGAGAGGTGATATCTTGGTGGTGTCAGAGAGCCATTTACACATTACACAGGATAAATTGGATCATCCCAAGCCAGTTCAGATGGAAGTCCATGCATCTTATTCTTGGATGATCTTCCATAATTAAAAACAAATATTTCCATTATGAAATAAACTGTTGGCTTTTAAATTTTATATTGTCACTAGTTTTTAATCCTATGTTTTGTCTTTCAATGATTAGATGTGGAATGTAATTTTTGTATTTATTATTTAATTTTTATGGCAATGCCTTTATTATTATAGCATTGAATGTTTGCCGTTACTTGTTGGAAACCACCTTGAGCTCCCCTGGGGAGATGAGGCAGGATATAAATAAAGTTTATTACTATTTTTTAATTATAACACTTGAAGTACTCTAACAAGTTCTTCCAGCTTTCCCAAGATACACGTATACATTTTTTGCTTTGTTCATCTCTCCTTTTTCTTTTCTTATTAAGCCAGGAAGTCACATCCAGTTTGGCTTTCCCCCGTAAAAATATGTTGGCATACATTTTGAATTCTCTGATGTATAGAATGAATTCTGTCCTTGCTGTATGCTGTGAATTCTGCCTATGAAATATCCTTGTTGTGGATAATGGGGTTTCCACCCACTCAGCTGTCGACAACTGATCACCTGCAGCTGCCAAGATGCATTAATGATACCTGTCACACTTGCACATCTCAATGGGTAATCAATATTGAGGCTCTGACATGGACCATCTGTTTAATGGTGGACACACAGCATGGAATCAATATTGTGAAGCTGTAAAAGTGTCAAACAGCTTGCCTTTTCAGCAAATACCAATCTGATTACTTCCGGTTCCTTTACTGTTTTGACTATTAATTCTCAAAGTGTTTTTAAGGGCCCATGTATAAAGCTGCTGATCACCCAGTATCAGTGTGCCTGGGTAGTTCATCTTTCATGCCATAAGTTGACCTCTCATTCCACAGATGCAGAGAAAAATGGATGATAGCTATTCTTGGTAGCCAGGTGCTGCACAATGGTCTCTGTATGTATGTGCACACATGCTCTTTTCCAAACTCTATTATACAAATACCCAAGTTAGGAGAGGATCAGATTCTTTTTGTGCATGTACTGAGCTTTAACCCCAAGGAACGTCCATCTCAGTGTTTTGCCAAAGAGCTCTGGGATGGCTGCTTTTGTGTTCCTGTAGGAGAAGGAGGCCACATCCTGCTATCCCTCCTTCTTTCCTTGATGCCAACTGGGATCCCTGTTTCCTGCCACCATTAGTAGCACAGATGCTGTTGTCTTGGGTGTTTCACCTCACAGAAAGAGACATCTCCAGTTGTTGGGAGCAATTTGCTAATAGCAAAGTTATGTGTGTAAAGGAGGTCACAGCATGGGGCAAGGTCATATATGGCATGGGCTGTGCAACCTTACTTAGGACCTTACCATACAAGGCAGGCAAATCACAGTTACAACAGGACAGGGGCTTATTACATGACATCACCATTTTCTTGTCACTTTCCCAGTGGGAGACAGCCTGGAAAACATTTTACAAACACAAATAATTTTAATGACCTCTTTTTCTAAAAGAAGTACCTTCCAACAGTCTCCCACTGGGACAACAACAGAAGAGCAACAACACAATGCATTAAGTTCTGTTGTTATCGAGTTGCAATTGCCTCATGGGATAAGTTCCAAAATGTAAGTTTCACTTGGCGGAGTCAGCTTTTGCATGCATGATGAGGTAAGCAGGTAAAGCTTCCCATCACACTCTGCCTTTTGTCAACAGTGCTGTGTAGTGAAGTAGTTGAAGTATTAGGTTAGGACAACGCAGGTTTCTAGCCCCAATTTGGCAGGATTATGGGCCACTTTCATATTTCCTTAGGATTTTTAGACAAGAAAAGATAAAGAGAGCCTTGAACTCTTTGGAGGAAAGGCACCACATAACCAATGATGCTGTTAATGACAGGAGTTATTGAAACTTTCCTTCCGAACAAATAACTTATTTCCTATGTATTTCTGGCCAATTAGTTTTGAGTGAAAATAGAGACTTTGCACAATAACTTTAAAGATATGTGAAGTAAGCACTTAAGAAGTTACTTCCTGTGATTGGTTTTGAATAGAGTCCATTGTATTCTGTGCCTGTAGTGAGATGTGATTGATTTGTAGGAATGTACTGCCTGCCATTGTCTGTCAATACAGCGTTAGACGTCATAGCATCCGTGTTTCCAGTGTGTATGTACATTTCTTTGCCTACCTTGTCCATCTCCATTCAGAAACAAAGCACAAACTCCTAGAGCCTTCCTAAATTAGATTCTATGTGAGAGCAGATGATTTAAAGTACAACAGAATCATCATGAACAGCGTGTGAATCCAAAACTAAAGAAATGCTATTGTGAGCTGTTGATCCAAGGAGCTATGGGGATTGCACTGATCTGGGGGGGAATAAATATTCAAGTTTTAAAAATAGGAATGGCCATATGATTCTGAATTGATAGTTTGAAATGTCTACCAATTATTCAGAATTTTGCTCTGTGAAAATCAAGGAAGTGAAAAAGGCAAGTTAAAATAAGGTTTCTCACAATGTTCTCATAGACATTCATTCCAGTGCTATGGTTCAGCTTTCACTATACGCTTGTGACCTTCTCACATACATCGCCAGAATCACCCAATATCCCCATGGGTCGCAGTGATTTTGGTGGCACCAACCCAGGGGGCATGGGGATCTGTCACCCCACACCATCCCGGCTTCCCCCTTACCCCATTACATGGGTGGAAGCCTTAGTAAGCCTGCTCAACACATCTTTCCTAAAGGAAAGAAGGTGAGCCTCCCATTGTGCACTGCTGCCAAAAGGGAAAACCCACCCTGTCACCAAATTTTGGACCATGTGAAGAGGTCCATAAAGGTACAAAGCTGTATGTCTCACACAGCTCAGCTGCTGTGCTGAACTCCAAAGAAGTATTACTCTCTCTCTCTCACACACACACACACTAATATAAAAATTCAAAAAAGAAAAACACTATGCTACACTACATTCTACCAACATATAAAACATATATGGAACACAAAGACATAAGAAAAAGCAAAAAAAGAAAACATTAATACAGACTATGCAAATTTCCCTACAAAGTACAATCTATTACTACCCACCATGCACAAAAATGAAAAATAAAAAAATAAAAAATGGACTTCCTGCCTTCCAAGCCAAGGATACACAAATATCCTTTACTTCCTTAATTCTACTTAACAGATATTTATATTTCCACCTAATAATTATAGAATACACATTTATATTTCT